TTACCTGCACTATTTCTATGTGGAAATTTTATTTTAAATTAAAGGCATTTCAGTCGTACTTTAAATGTTTAAGTGTTATCTAAATGTTCCCTAGGATTTATCTGCTCGAAATGAATCACATTTTTATTAACATGGAAAAATTTCACTGTTTAGAGGCTGACTCCTTGTATAATCTTGGTTCCCTGCCCACTGGTTTCCACTATATTTGTAGAGGTCCCCGGGAGATAGACTGTCATACTTTACTCTTAAATTCAACATAGAATGACTATTAGGTCCATGACCTTGGGGAAACAATGATAAAAATATCCCTACCTCCAGGGTGGGGTAGCCATTCAGACAGACACTAAACAGTATGTAACACTTCTAAAATGTTCACTTTCTGAAAGCTTTCAAAGAACAGGCCCAGCCTTGACCATGGCTGCCAGTGCCTGAATAAAAAAATATTTCTTCTTTGTTGTTGCACCAGACATCAGTGGTACTCGAACTTTTGTTTGTGGTACTGAGTATTCTGGAGAAGAACATTTCTACTATTCTGAATACGTGTGGGGACCCCTTTTTCTATATTCTGCTCATATTTCTTCACTTGGACTCAGAAACAGTATTGCTTGTTCTTGATCAAGAGAATTCTCTTCATCTTCTCTCTGTGGCTGTCTATAATATACCAGACCAAGTGTTTCTGGCCACCTGGAAAATAGATGTAATGATCTATTTTTTCTCTTCTCTCATTTCCACCTATACATATTTAAAACCATGACCTATGAACCTATACATACAGATGTGTAGGGTAGGTGCCAACAAAACACACACACACACACACACACACACACACACACACACACACACACACACTTTTCCTCAATAAACTGCTGTATAATATCTAATCAGTTAACAAAGATGATAGAAAATACTTTTATTTCTTAATTTTAACACATACAAGTTTCACTATTCTTTACAAAAATCTCTTGGAAGACTGCTCATTTTAACATACCACATATACATGTTTGAGTCTTTTATCTACAGCAAAGTGTATTAACAAAAAGTTAATAGCTGAATTGTGATTACTTGAATACTTGAATTTAATTGTGGAAATTAGTAAAAGCAAAATGTTATATCAAAAGCGGGCTTCCAGAAATATCATTGTATTACAATTTTTCAAAAGCTGTATATACTTATATTATTATATTTGAATAACATTGTCTTTATTAATGCCTTCTTGTATCTCTGAATATGAAACTAATTCATTCACGTCTTACTGATTCAAACGGGAATTATATCCTGACCTTATAGTTGCTTTAATAATGATGAGAAATAGGATCTGTATAAGTGAGACATGATTATTTCCTAATACCAGAAGCAGGTTAGGTAAGAGGCAGAAATCTAAATTTACATTCTGTTTATAAAACTACAAGTTATAAACTATACAGGATTAGCTTGACATAGACTTGACACACTCTCTTTCTCTCATACTCACATACAAATTCATACTATAAAATGTTATTGCGCTCTCTAATTTTAAAATCACTAATTATAATTACAGTTCAATGAGTTAACAAATGCTTATAGTTGCATCCACCACAAGCAAGGTATAGAACATTTCCGTTAGTCTAGAATCTTTCCTTATACTTTTTCCTTAACCCCTGACCTCTGCTAATCAGACCAGCTACTTTCTTTAATTTATCATAATGTTTTGAGATGTTTCCATACTGTTACATCTATAAGTAGTCCTTCTTATTGTCGAGTGGTACTTCTTTCATCAGCTGATGGACAGAAGAAATGTTTCCACATTGTTGACTATTATGAAAAAAGCTACAATGATTATCTGTGTAAAGACCTTTGCATGAACATGTATTTTTGCTTTCTTTAAGCAAATATCTACAAAGGAATCACATAGTAATCATGTATTTAAATTTATAAGAAACTGGGCTGGGGATTTAGCTCAGTGGTTCCGCTGCCTGCCTCGCAAGTGCAAGGACCCAAGTTCGATCCCCGGTACCAAAAAAAAAAAAAAAAAAAAAAAAAAAAAAAACATTAATAAGAAACTTTACCAAGTGGCTGTGTAATAGGTTTCATTTCTAGCAACATTATATATCAGTTTTACCTATTCCATGTCTTTCCCAGTGTTGGGAATGACTCATTCATTCTAGTTAGTGCCATTTCATCGTAATTACAATTTGCATTTCACTGATGACTAATGATCCTGAGCAAATGCTCATTTGTGTATTGATACTTTACACTTTTTCTTTGGTGAACTGTTTCAATATTTCAATTTTTATTTATGTTATCATTTATATTGAGTTATATATTCTGAATGAAATTTCCTTTTTATAAATAGTTTACAAATACTTTCCCTCAGTCTGCAGTTTTCTTTTGTATAAGAGCCATCTTCTCTGTATCATTAAAATTTTGGTATATGTGATGCTCAAATGAGCTCAAACTTTAAATTTTGATGAACTCAAAATTATCATTATCTTATTTATCCTAAACAAATCTTTGCCTAACCCAAGGTTATAACAATTTTCCACAAGATCTTTCTGTTTTCTTCCATAAGAAAGATTTTTCTGTTTTTGTTTGCTTTCTTTTCTTTTGTTCTATTGGTAGGAGTTGAACCACAGCTTTTGCCAGCCAGTTTTTTAACTTTGTATCTTGAGACAGGTTCTCACTAAGTCACACTGATTGGGCTTAAACTTGCAATCTTTCTGCATTAGTCTCTCAAAGTGCTGAGTTTACAAATGTGCACCCCCGTGCATGGACCTCTTCGATACTTTGTATAGTTTTAGCTCTTAGGCTTAGGTCAGTGATCCATTTCACATTAATTTTTATATACAGTCTGATATAAGGGCCAATCTTCATTTATTTCATGTAAATACTGAATTTTTCTATTGGAATTTCTTTCAATGACAATTTTCTCTTGCTGAATTAGTTTGGCACCTATTTTTTGAAAATAAGTTGGTATAGATGTACATATAAGTCTATTTCTCAATTGGTCCATTTGTTTACTGATGCCAGTCTAATGCAGCCTTGATTGCTGTGGCATTATAGTAAATCTTGAAATTATATACTGTGAGATCTCCAGCTTTTTGTTTTTAAAGTGTTTCAAATTATTTTAGCTTTCTAGATTCTTTACAATAAAAATTTTGAATTATTTCTAGTTTTTACAAAAGAAAAAAGATTCCCGTGAATTTTAATTGGAATCACATTGACTATAGATAAATTTGAGAGACTTGACATTTTAAAGTCTTCTGATCTGTGAACAGAGGATAGCTCCATTTTTATTTAGGCCCTCTATGATTTCTCTTAACAATGTTTTGTAGTTTTCTGTGCACATACTTCTTGTCAGCTTTATCCTCGTGTATTTCAGGGATTTATAATAACTTAAATTGTTTTTCTTTGGATTTCCAAAATTGTTCATACAATTATTTTAAGAAAGATACTGAAAGTAGCATCCAAAACAGTAGTATCAACTAAAGGCTAAAGGAAAAAGTGATCCTAACTAGCAATTATGTCTAATGGAGAAGACAGCATGACAATAGAATCATTGAATGGCAAAAGCAATGCAAAAGAATTACATTTAAGCATAGAAACTTTGTATCTAAGCATAGAAATTACTGTTTGGCTTACAATGAATAGTAATACAAAGCATACCCAGAAACTAGTGAAGAAGAAAAGGCCCTGACACTAGAATTGGAAGCCCTCAACTCTAATGTTGACCAAGTATATATAGTCCAAGAAAATAAACCTGAAGAAATATTTTCTTCCTTTTCATTGTTTATTGAATAGTTAGTGAATATTCACAAGAGCCAAACACCATGACAAGTGCTATAAAATAGGAAGAATCCTGCGTACACTGTCCTTCAGGGGTTATAATGAAGGCTCAAGTAAGAAATCATTATATGAAATATTTTGGTAAACTAAAATATAAATTTAACATGCTACTATTATAGTTATAGCAAGAAAAATCCCATTTATAGGTGCTATAACTTTAATACAGAACTCTCACCAGGACAAGAAAGTAGCTCTCAAAACAATTAAATGGATTATAGATAGAGAACCCTACATATAAGCACTCCATACCAAAACCATTTGTCTTGAATTGCCCTGTAGCTGTGTCATACAAATATTATCTAAATCCAGAGATGTAGATGAAGGTCAATTTGTCATTTTTAAACTCTATAAAGAAAAAAATGGCTTAAATAATGAGGTAGCCTTATTATTTCTATTAAAAGGGCATTTTCTGTTGAAAAGCTTCTATTAAGAATCTGTCATATAACATATGGACTGAGAATTCAGAAGTATACCAAAAGACATTATACAAAAGAATATCATTAAAATTCTAGTTTCCCTGGTTTTATATTTATATCCAGATAACAATATGCTACTCATCATTAAATCTTATAAGCTTCTTGAAAAATACTCTTTCAGTTTCCTTTTTTTTTTTTTTTTTTTTTTTTTTTTTTTTTT